ACACAACTTCCATAAAATATACTGAGAAAGATGATAAAATTATAAAATTGTAAAAACTATAAATAATTGTAATTTGAGTTTAAAAGTTTATAATTTACACCTGATGACGGTTTGATAAACCGAAAAATGTTGTGAATGTTCCGATGTAAATCAAATGCTCGATACGGAACATAAGATGATATTTTAATCATTTTAATTATCTTATCTTACTATTTTATTGTGATTTGACGGTAAACAAATATAATAATTATTTTAATTAATATCACAATATGACGCAGCTATACTATCTCACTTTCAGTGAAATAAATTACTTGGTTCTGCTGCACAATAACACATACATTTAATTACAGAACCGTCTTTTGATGACTTGGCAGACAATTTCTGAAAACTAAACTGCGATTTCTTATGGATTTATTACAGGACACTGGTCCCTTTGCTCTGACATATGAAATTTTATCAGAATTAATCTATTTATCTTAATAAATATTCTATGAAAAACTGCTTGTTAAAGTTGCATACTTGGTTTGCGTGTAAACACAATAGTGCAACTGAGTAGAATTCTGGTAAACAACAAAAACAATCACACCTTGCCAGGTTGATTCTTGCTCTTTTTGCCCACCACTCAGAGTGACATCCCTCTCCCCCACAATGGTCATGTCACCATGGGGCAACAGCTGGAAGTCTCGTTCAAGAGCACAGGCCCTCACCACTTGTCTGTACCGGTTCCTATCCATGAGCTGCCCAAACAGGATGTTCTGCCGCACAGAGGCTGTGAACAGCCATGGTTCTTGCGACGCGTATGATACTGATTCTCCCACTAATATGGAACCGCTGATGAGAGGCAGTTCTTTCAGAACGGCATGGACCAGTGATGTCTGCAACAGCAGTAATATTTAAACAACACATGTACAGTATGGTGCATTTTGGTGTATCTCAATGACTCCCCAATGAACTACAATTTAAAGATAAACATTTTATTGGCACAATTTCACAAGCAATGTACAAAGTTTATTCTACAACACAAGACAAATATTGAAGTAATAAAATCTGATAGTAACATCAAAATATCTCACTCTTTATTTTCCGAATAACGTGTCATGGAGAAAAGAGACTTAACAAAAACTGTTCCGTTACAGAGAACGTTGCAACAAATGTACCAACATTTCCACTAACTTCTCAATATTGCAGTACAGTGATCAGAATTCCTGCTTCGCATTCACCTTGGCTGAAATATCAGTCCAGAATCTGGCCAATCTGTCATTCCAAAATATTGTGATATCTTAAACTAGGCCACAACTTCCAAGTCATTTTTTACAATTATCCTGCCAATCAATATCGCATAATATATGCAGTTGACAAAGTGTCATTAAATAGAGAAAAATGTTCACTAATTAACACAGTTAATCATCATTACTGATATGCCCACTTTAAAGGAATAAAGGACTCATAATAAGCATATTGCATCTGACTTGCATCCATGGGGAACGCAATTTGAGTCTTCGCTAGATGGTTGATCGAAGTCTGTTGTCCACACATTAATAATATTAATAAAATAAATTAATGATATGCCAAGGAAACTCCAGTGTCATGAATGTGACAGACCTTCCCTGATCCAACAGGTCCAATGACAGCCACCAGTCCTCCAGGTCTTACTTCCAGACTCACATCAGTAAGCGTGTTCTCAGGCAAGTCCTCAGTCCACCTGGCCATCACATTAGTAACCTTGAGACCTTTCTTGTCTGGAGTGTCACCACTATCTGTACTGTTTTCTTCTGCATATACACTAAATTCCAGAGCACCAGTCTTTGCCATCTCCATCTTGCATTCATTTCCAAGAGGTCTGCTTTTGTCACAGATTAAGTCTGTGGTCTTCATATCATTTGCAATGCACCTAGTTGCAGTAGTCACTTCACCATAAAGAAGGAATCTCTGTGGAAATAAAATAACTTTGTTGAAATTAAAATACACATTCTTATCCATCTAATACTACATAATAATTTTAATAAAAAAACAAAAGTGTTATTTATGTTTACCTTGAAGGCAATTTTATTTACTTGTTAAAACTTTAACTCTTCTTAGCATTCATTTTAATATGAATGAAACTATGAAAGTTAAGCTAATCCTGTGAAGAAGTTTCAGCCTGAGCATATGCATTACCACTTTGCTATAATGACACAGATCTCAATAAGATTGAAACATTTTCAAACGATTCATTAATCTCATTTTGCTGTACCTGCTGATGATAATGATTTTGTGGTATGATCATCCATTTCATCATTATACCTTGCTCCTGGTGCAATACAACCTCTGGAATTTAAAAAGTTGTCTGTTAAGGGAAATAAGCTTAGAACAAAACAACAAAGCATGAAAATAAAAATATTGTACCAATTCTATAAATTAAAACTAACATTTTTGTCAATGTACAACATAAAAACTATTAGTTATTTACTTCACAGAATTATGGATTTTAATTGTTACGTATATATCAAGGAAAACAAACCTGAATTCTCTTAACAGAGACATGTGCTATTGATCGAGGAAACTGACCAGTCAATGCCTTGTTTATGATATTCATAAATCCGGTTATCACAAACTTATGGGAAAAAGAAACAAAACAAATTATAAATACATTTGGTGTGACTAATAGATGCTCTATCACCACTGCTTTTCAATTTTTCCATAGAATATGCCAGCAGCAAAGTTCAAGAAAACCAGGGCAGCTTGGAACTGAATGGGACACATCAGCTGTTGGTCTATGCTGATAATATTAATCTGTTGGGTGACTATACAAATGCTATAAAAGTGAAATATTATTAAGGGCTAGTAGGGATATTGGTCTAGAAATAAATGCAGAAAAGACAGGGTACATGATCATGTCTCAGCATCAGAATTCAGGACAAAACCAAAATATAAAGACAGCTAATGAGTCGTTAAAAAATGTGACAAAATTCAAGCACTTGGGGATGACAGGAACAAGTCAGAATGACATTCAAGAGCAGATTAAATTCAGGGAATCCTTTTTATCATTCAGTCCAAAATATTTTGTTCTCCTAATATCATAAAAACTAAACATTAAAATACACAAAACTGTAATTTTGCTGTTTGTGCTTATGGGTGCAAAACATGGTCTCTCACCTTGAGAGAGGAACATAGACTGAGGGTCTTTGAGGAGGATATTTGGGCCTGAAAGGGAGGAAGATGGTTCATGGAGAAAATTGCATAATGATAAGCTGTACTCCTCACCTGATATTGTTAGTGATTAAATTGAGGACCACAACTGAGTAATAATGGTGACTTTCATGATTAAAAATAAAACAAAATGTTTATGATAAATGTCAACTAATACTTCTGTCATGTAAAACATTCTTCAATATAAGAAATGGGGCAACATACAAGAGTGACAGAAAACTCACAAATCTGATGCTCCAAAATAGGATATTTAGAAACATATTTCTGAATAAGCCACTGAAATAAACCAAGTGCTGATAAGATACATGCATTGGCCATACCCTTTTCTGTGAAATACACTGTGCTGTTTCACTGCATATATTTGACAAACTCAGTATCAGCATTGTAATACTGTGTGACTCCAAGAAGCAATGACTCCACTACCTGCAGCCACAAGAGATGGATATTTTGTCTTTGCAGGTATACATGCCAAAGCACACACACCAACTCCTGGTTTTATCCCTGATGTTCAAAAGCACCTGCACTTCCTCTTGCCATGACAGTTTTAGCATTTCCATATTTCCAAATGTCATGAGACAAACTCCAGTGTCTGTTCAACAAGCTACAGCTTGACAAGTGATAACATAGCAGACTGTATGATTATATTCAAGATACCATTTAAAATAGAATACCCTAGCGCATATCTTCCATCACAAGCATGTCAATACAGATCCTGATTTACCACATGTACAAAGCAGTTGAAAAAGCAAAATGAAGTAATGATGGGATTCTAACAACACTCACTTGCACACCACAATCTCCGCATAGAACTCCAAGTATTGAGAAAATCATGCAGCCAAGAATAATTTGTTTTCCATAAACACAAAAGTCTCTCACCTTCTCAGCCGTTATCTTGTTCCCAAGTAGAGCGTATGACACTATAGCAATAAATATGGCAATCTTTGTTGAAAACTTTCCAATCAATAAGAGCAAACCACGCACATAAAGTGCAGCCCTAACTGTTTGAATTTCATTTCTGCAAGAAAAGAATAACTGTATCAGACATAGTAAATTACTATGGTGTAAATTAAATTAAATCCGTGGCGTAACAGCTCCAGAGAGCCAAAGCCGACTAGCTGACTGCTGGCCTCACGTTCACATGCCTAAGCAGAGGTGAACGATCATCCAACCAGATACAGAGTGACGTGTGGTCAGCACGACGAACCCCCAGCCATTGCTAGCTTTCCTGACTGGATTACGCTACTCATTGTAGCTTCCCACTTTCCTCACGATGCTGGGTTGGCACTGGTCCCATACACTGGTCAAAAGCTCATGAGAAAATTTCTTCTCCCCCAAGACTCGAACCAGCGCGCATTCCGTATCACCAGTCCGAAGCATGATGCCTCAGACGGCGTGGGACACTATGGTGTAAACAATCCATTTAAAAAAAATCTATGTCAAATCAGGAGTGCATTTAAACATGTTATTATTACAATCCTAAGATAGCACTTATCTTCTGGAACATGTAGCTAGGGTTCACCTCCCACCATAACTATTGGGACTTAACCCTTTAATTTTTCCAGAATGACTCTAATTCCCAATCATATGACTTACACTAAGTGTGAAGTATTTAACTGGGTAAAGCTGAATTCGACAAGAATGTCCAACTCCAATGTTCTGAGAATAATCCTACAAAGCACATGCAAAGTGGTAGTTCCGACTCATTTATTTGTTAAGCTGGTAGATACCTGCAACACCTAAGCAGGAGTGAATGAATAATACTGAAGTAGATTAGGAAATTCTTGAATAGCTGAGAAACCCTCAACTTCACAAGGACTCTAGAATTACTTACACCTGGAATTCAGTTGTGGCCTTCATTGCAACAACCTGAATTGTCTGATCTCACTCAATATTTTGAAGCAGTTAATCAAAAAAATGAATAATTGAGTGCCTACTGTACATACAACAATTAAAGGCTAATTGTCCTGTTCATAATTGGTGAATAAGACACACAAATGGTCAGATAAACACAGATGCTTTGCTTCAGCATTAGAAGGTAAGTAGGCTAAATGCAGAGGTTAAGAGGACTGAAGGAAAACAACTGACAGACAAGTTTCTGCAGTAAGTTATTAAATTACTAAAAGGAAGTTACCTGCGAGCAACAGAGACAAGATAAGCAAATGGTTTCTCCCACGCATACATCTTGATAACCTGTATGCCAACAATGATCTCATTCATGAATCTAACTCGCTCATCAGTTCGCTTGGCAGTGCGGAGACGGAAAGTGGACAGCAACTTTCCAAAATATGCTGATAAATTGAAAAATACACAATTAACCAACTAATACAAATACCATGGATATAAAGTACCATAGCAGGGTTACTGCTTACTGGATATGGGACAATATTCAAGCTTTCTGATCTCGTAAGTCTACGAGTTTTAATCTTTACCTAGCATGTAAAATAATGATGCCCTATATATGAAATGTAAATGGCAAACAATCAGTGTTAATATGCTTAACCCTCCCTCAGGCTCCAATTAGGTTATAAATTTTGAAGTTTCATCAAATTCTTAAACTTACCATATTACATAAAGTAAATGCAGATCATGAACTAGAGGCAGAATTAAGGTTATCTTAGGATTACAGCAGTGTTTCATAAATTCTGCAGCAGTAAATGGTAGCAGTGTAACTTCCATAAAGTTGATGGGTTAAACAGACATCTTCATAGAGGCTTGGGTCATGTTATTAAAGGGGCTCATACATGTACTTATACACAATAATTTGTAGTTTC